CTTGGGGTTCTTTAATTATAAATTAAGTTAATTATTTTGGCGGGGGGAGGGGGGTTTGGTCGTTTTTAGTTCTGACACTTTGTGCTCTTCTACTGCTCTTAGGCTGGGTTCACACCTACGCGTATCAAATATGCGCGTTTGTCGCGTGTTTCGCGCCGCACACTTTTACCGCGATTTGCGGTAAAAAACCGCGTGACAGATGCGCGTTTCCGAGGGCTACCTGGCTGTATCCCAATGGATACGCGCGGCAAATACGCCCCAAAGAAGCTCCTGTACTTCTTTGGGTGTAGGGCGTTTTGTAGCGCGTTCATACGGCCTGTAATACGCCCAGGTGTGAACCATACCCATAGGAAATAATGGGATTTTCGGTGTTTGAGCGTTTTGCAGAGCGTAGGAACGCGCTACAAAACACCCAGGTGTGAACCGGGCCTAATTGTCTCTCTCTACTCCACAACATGAAGTCACATGTTCTTGCCTGTAATGCAACCCCAACAGCCAAAAAAAAAATCTGATCAGGAGCTCAGCCAAGGGAGACACTGCTTCTCCATAAATGCTGCACAGTGAGGAAGATTTGACCCCCTAGGACAGGCAGTGCGTAATAGCAGGATCACCAATTACAAATAAAGGAAAAAAATAATCATGTGTTGTAATGCAGCCACCACATCTAAGCACTAGTGAGCTACAATATATAATATTTTTGTTTTTGGGATTAGAAACACTTTAAAAGCTTTATTCCGTGAATTGTTAACATTTCTTTATAAGGTCTTCAATGGGAATTGTGAGAAAAGGCAGACATGGTGGGTAATCTCTCTGACTTGCGGAACAAAAGTACACATTGCATAGCTGTTGCTGATGAAGCTGGCAATGATGTGGAGCAATTAAATGACGCAGTTGCAAGGCTCAAAAAAAACCTATGAAAAGTACAAGAGACAGCCTGAAAAATATTCCTGCCTCTGTAAAGTGTCAACATGAAAGAATCATCGCAGGAGCTAAATAGCTTTACCATCCTTGAGCAGCAAAGACATATTACATTTCTGGAAGCAAAGTCACGGAGAGAAAAAAAGAGTTGTGAAATTGCATGAAACTACATCCCGCTATTCTGCCTCCTTCAAATGTTTTAAGGGATAATCTAAATCTGCACGATCCTTCTCACAGAGATCATTCCTGAGGAGTCAAATAATCACTGTCCAAACAGAAGCAGCAAAGGCTTGAGCTCATTCCAACAAGAAGGAAGCAACCCTTACGGCGGAACTGCAAACTTAAAACCTACCTTATCGCAAATACAGCCATTAAGGCAGACATAAACATTAACTGAGTGGCATTTAATTTGCTAATACAATACGTATTTTCATATATTTTTTATCCTTTGTAGAATCTCAGTGCTACTGATCTCCTGCAGCTATATCCACTTCTGTAATGGCTCCATGGCATTTCCAGTTTAGTGCTGAGCAAACTGGCTTAAGTTTTACTCACTTGTATGTTCTCTGAACCCAACCGGAAATTTGGGTTCAGCCAATGTTCAAGTGACCTGAACGCAAGGCCGCCTGTGTCCTATCAACCAATAAAGCTGTGCAACCAGCACAGTATCATTGTTGCTAGGACACTAACAGCAGGGCAGAACAGTGTCATTGATTGCTAGGACTGTGTCTCAACAGCAAAGTATGGTGTTCAGCCCACATAACATCATTCATTGGTTGCCAAGATGCTGGTATCCCAGTGTTGTTTTGGTGTGCTCACCTGTGTCCTAGTGAAGGCCTCGACCCCCGAAGGACTGAGGTGGACCCCCAAAGGCAGGGAGGGCTGAAATGTCACTCTCAGGGGTGGATCCTTAGCTGGGTTGTGGGATGTGAACAGTAAATTGGGCGCCAGTCACTTTAAGTGCCTTTTGAAATGCTTTATTGTAGAACAGGAAAACTGGGAGAGAGGGTATAGGGCTTTAGACATCCATAGCAAAAATAGACTCACCAATCTCTCCATGCTTCCAGAATGTAGAAATACTTTAGTAGAATGAAGGATGACACTGTGCAGTAGAGCAACAGCTCAATAAGGATGTGCATGAAACTCCTAGTGATTGGCTGGTGAGGCATAGGCACTCCAAATGTTCCCCTATTGGTTGCACCGCTCTGTGGCAGGGTCATACCCCATTACAGGTAGGTGCAGTCAATAGCAGAACACCTAGAATTAAGAAAATGATGTCAACCTACAAATCAGCCAGACTGATTACACTACTAGCAACACTAGATTTAAGTAGCCACCCCACTTAGGATGGAAGAGGCTACATCAGCAACCAGAGATGCTCTTGAGCTCATCTATCAATTAACCATATCCTATGTGTGGGCAGTCATTGTTTGCTAGGCACACAGACGTAGGTTTGGTAGGTGGGTGAGTGTGTAAAATGAATAAATTATTCACCGGTTTGGCATACTGAGAACAGCTTGGGTTCAGGCTGAACCTAAACCTGTTCCTGATGGTGACAACAGTGTATCATGCCTGCATAATGTGTGTTGAAATGGCCTGTTGTTTTGATGCCCATGTGACAATGCAGGAGCATGATTGGGAGAGAGGAACAGAGTGTTGTCACCCTATAACAGGAGTTGTCTGAGCAAGAACCTTCATGGTAAGATCACCAGCATTAGTTTAATGAAAACTTCAGATTTTAAACTATTGAAAATTACTTTTGACATGACATAAACATGCTACAGCTAATGTTAGATTTTAGTGAGTGGGTTTTACATCTACTTTAAAACATGTACCTGCTGATTTAGGACTCATGCATATGACAGTAAATGGACATTTAATGTACAATACAGCCATATTTCCTCTGCAGGGAGTGACAGGTGCAGTGTATAGCAGCTGCCAGTCAGCCTGTAGAAATCAATGGCAGACGGCGGTTATATGCAAATATACACAAATCAGAAGTATTGTATTTTTTTTTATTGCCCAAAACCTTTTGTCCATCCTCAGAATTGTTGCATGTGTTATTCTGAAAAATTCTATACAGAAAGAGTAGAGATGAATGAAAAAAAAAATGCATTCTAGACTAAGCAATATATATTTTTTTGAATTGTTTCCTTATTGCCTGCTTAAAGGGAGTGAAAAAGGGGCGTGTCTTTTGCCTAGTTACTTTGTGCTACAATGTGTCCCTTTTTTATATGTCAAACCGTTGGGAGGTATGCTCTGGCATTTGGAAATAATGGAAGAACTACAAGCTGCTAGTACAGCCCACTGTGCACTACTGTAATGAATGGTCTGGGCGTATGTGGGATTACTCTACTCCCCATCAATGTGCTAGCTGAATGACTGGGGAAAAGCAAGCCGAGGGAGAGTTATGATAAAGCCAGCTCTAGAGTATACGTGAGTCATTGTGAAAAGGGGTGAACGGTGCTGCCAGTTAATGTAGTCATACTAAAGCACATATGTAAATTATACCTAAACCCAACCAGTTCATTCTTATATAAGCTTTATTATTATTATTATTATTATTATACATGATTTGTATAGCGCCAAAAGTTTGCGCAGTGCTTTACAATATAGGGAGGACATTATAATTTCTGTCACGATTAGGGCACTGCAGCACCAGGAATCGTAAAACTCTGGGTCTTTCAGAACAGTATATAGGGATTGAAGTAGGAATGGGCAGCAATACATGTCTCTGAAGATGGAGGGACAGTGTAACCGCACAACAAACGCAGGTGTGCCAGAGTCGCAGGATCTAAGGAGTCACCTGGTCTTCCTCAGAGCCACTGATGGTGTGGATGTTGAGCTGCGGGGCAGCTCTCAGGTTTCGGCTCTCTGACACACCCGTGCAGGCATAGTACCAGCGGGTACTCAGGGACCACAGTACATGGGACAAGACACGGTGCATACAGGATACAAGATACAGAAAACAGGCACTAGAGGGAAGATGCAGGGAACATACGTGGCACAGGGAGCAGGTAACAGAAGGGAACACACCACAGGTGTACCCAGAGAGACAAGAAATACACAGGAACAGCAGAGGGGAACGCACAACACAATTTTTAAAATAAAGGGCTCTGTATACAGTGTGGTGTGTTTATTTACTCTTTTACTTACTATTTGATGAATGAGCTTGGGTAACAACTATCCCTTACTCATTCACAAGGTGGGGCTGGATCTGGGTGCTCCCTTTATGAAAGGGGGTACCCAGATGCAGATGAGCTCCCCTGCCCACAGACCCCCACAACCACCAGTTTAGGGTTGTGGCGAGGAGGCCCATGTCATGGGGACAAGGTGCTTTTCTAATGGGTCCACCCCTGGAAAAGCACCCTCCCAATGCCGAGGGCATGTGGCCTGGTGGAGGGTGGGGGGGGCAAGGTTGTGAGAAAGAGGCCCTTGTCCTCATCGACATGGGGACAAGGTGCTTTTCCAGGTCGTCGTCCCCCCCCCACTGCTGCTGCTCAGATCAAAGGTCTGGTTGAAATTTTAGGGGATATTTTTTTTCTCCGTTCTTTTTGGCGTTTGGGTCCCCGCTAAAATTCTTACCAGATATAAAGGGTTTGGAATGACTTTTAAGAGGAACCCCATGTTTTTCTGGTATGATTTGGGGAGGGGACTCCAGGCTGCTTTGGTTCCTTTCACTTTTCTTTGGTTGTTTGATCAGTTTGCTTCGGCGGACCACTCTCCTCGCTCCAGCTGTTTGTTCGCCTTTGCCGAGCTGGACCACTTTTGTTTGGCTCGGCTACATTCAGTTGTTCTTAAATTCACTTCGGCTGCTGTACATGCTTTTGAGAATAGCGCGTACAGCAGCCATTAGGTTCAGGCCAACCGAAGGGTTTTCTCACGCGAAGCGAGCTGAAGAAATTGGCTTAACATTTGGCTAATCCTCCGGCAGCTTAGTGAATATCCCCCTAGGTTTACATTTTTTTTTTTTTAAATGTTCATTGTTTGTGATACATTGTGCTTTCTCAAACAAAATGCCATTAATTAGGGTTTACATCTACTTAAAAAAATAAAATTTGACAAAAAAACATCATACTTACAATTTTTAAATGAGTCAGAAGCCTCATGACATCAGCCATGTCCGCCAGTATGAGTAGCCGGGTGACGGCGGATAGCAACGCCCGGGCAGCCCGCACCATGGTCCCGCGTTTTACCGAGGAGCAAGGATCATCTGCAAATTCTGATGAGGCAATCCGCATTGTTTCTCCTGCAAAATAAAAATAAAAAAAGTTCCATCATTCAAATGCCAAATGTCCTGGTATTACCCAAAAAGAGCCTGGTAAACAGTCGCACTGACTGACAGCTCTGAATCATCGGTAATCTGGAGATCTGCTATTTGTCTGATACAGGGTTTTCCTAAAATGACCCGCTAATTATTACCCATAATTATACCCTCTGATAATCCTATCTCAAAGCCAAGCTGAATGTTATCAAGACAAAACATGATAAGGTGGTTCATGGTTACACATTAGCACATAATTCCCTGGTCTTTATTCATATATTTTTATTCATATATTTATAATATATTAAAATTTTTTTACCTTTAGCGCTGTGACAACACCCACACCAAAACATGATACGGGTTTTGTTTTTTTTAAGGGGTTTGAAATTACTAAATATATTAAAATGACTTTCTACCTCCAGCTTTTGTTTTATGAGAGTAGTCTTAAAGGAGAACTATGAGGTGAGTGAAAATCACTCATCCTCATAGTTCAAGCTGACGTGTGGCAATGAAACTGTCACACGTCGGCTCAATAGATCGGGAGGTGAGTGAACACATACCGTCGCTCGCTCACTTCTCGATCTATCCCTGCAAAGAGCCGTGGCAACCAGTCACCGCTCCCCACCGGGATTCAAAAAATAAAATCCATGCAAGCACAGAGAGAACGTACAAACTCCTTGCAGATAGTGTCCTTTGACCAGAATGTGAACCGGGGGCTCTCAGTGCTACAAGATAGAAGTGCTAACCACTACAACATTGTGTGTATATGTGTAAATACATATTTATTTATGTAGCCATTAATTCATTCATTAATTTTATTTATGTATCTATTGATTCATTCAAAAATGGTATGTATCCATAAATTCATTACTTGTATGTATGTATGTATGTATCATTTATTTATTTATCCATTAATCCATTCAATAATTTTATTTATTCATGTATGTATGTATCTATTAATTCATTCAATAATTGTATGTATGTATGTATGTATGTATGTATGTATGTACAATTCATCCCCACACAGCTACCTCCTCATGTATCATTTCCCCCTCCTCTTTCAGATTGTAAGCCCTCAGGGGCAGGGCCCTTCTACCCATCCTGTCTTGAATTGTATTGTAACAATTGTTGTTACAATACATTGTAAAGCGCTGCACAAACTGTTGGCGCTATATAAATACGATGTAATAATAATAATAATAATAATGTATGTATCCCTTAATTCATTAATTTTAATTATTGATGTATGTACCCATTAATTCATTCATTCTTTTTTTTTTTCTTAAATGTACTGTATTAATTTATTGTTAGCTCTGACAAACAAACAAAAAATTATGTACACAACCAATGTGTGTACATTCTCTTACCTACTCCCTTAGCAAATCAACTAATGAACTAATATGACTAGGTAGGTATTCAGAAAGAGCCCATCTTTACGTTATCCTCTACTCCAGGGGTAGGCAACCTTGGCCCTCCACCTGTGCTGAAACTACAAATCCCATCATGCTTCTGCCTCTGGAAGTTATGCCTGTGGCTTGCAATGCCTTATGGGATTTGTAGTTTTCAGCACAGCTGGAGAGCCAAGGTTGCCTACCCCTGCTCTACTCCTTTACTAAATAATCCCTGATGTGTGCTCGAAAACAATGCCCATAACATGTTATTATAAGACTCTGCATATTTAATATACTGATGAATAATTATTTCATTTGAAAGCGTCTAGTTTGCGATCAGTTTTCAAGAAGCGTTGATATGTTGGAGACGCAGTAAAAACAATATTTAAGTTATTACGAGTTGAGAGCTTCAGGGCAATACACAGACACAGCTTTAAAAAAAAAAATCAATTTTCTGGACCATATAATTAAATTAAAATTTCTAGACCATATAATTATACCTTTCAGTCCTATGAAAAGTGAATAGCATGAGCCGATACCTTTGGAAGTAGGTGATTGACAGGTCTGCTAATAAATTCTATTGCTGCGACCCAGCAGAGTCCGCGTTTGAAATAATTTTATCGTGTTTTGGTGGTGCTTCATGGAAAATGTAATTTAATGCATACCAGATTTTTATGTTGTTTTTAAACACTATACAATTATTCAGAAAGCTTTGAAAGAGGCAGAATGGGTACAGCTTTTCAGCTCTCCCTGAATCTGAATGGCTGGATGAACATCTATTGTGTTACACTGATGTTGTTATCGGGGTTGGGTTGGAATAGAATGAGCTGCCCTGTAATAGCTTGCACCTCTGCTTATATAGTGAGCTAAGGACGAGTGAACCTAGTAAAATTTGCTTTGCCGAATGATACAAGTCCTCTAAACCCAAACATTGTGCCCGAACCTCATTGAAGACTATGGTGCCCTAATTTTGTGCAGTCACCCTGCCCTAAGCAGGAGAGTCTATTCCAATTTAGAGTCTTATCCTGATCGGAATTCGGCTTTCTAACATTTCTACTAAAGCTTCTGTGCTGGGGGGTGTCCCTGGTAATAGTGTGAGAAGCACGCTTAAATCAAGGTTAGGGATGTTTGTGTCTCCCTAGCCAACCACTAGGACGTTTGATACCAGTGGTGCATGCTGGTAGAGGCTATAAATGTGACCTTGGGAAGCCAGTTTAGTCTACCCTTGGGGGAGGGGTGCTGTGGATTGTTTTATCTTCCTAGGCCTGGTGCTTAGGCAGGTGACCCTGTGCTCAGACTGAGGCTTTGGACTGGGAATAGAGTTGCCACCTGTCTGGTTTTCACCTGGACAGTCCGGTTTTGGAGTCTTGTGTCCGAGTGTCCAGCCAGAGGACACAAGACACTCAGTGCCGACACTGGCACTTTACATTTTCTGACAAATGCGGCTGCCAAGGTAACCGGCAAGCGCAATCTCGGGCAGTTGTAGCAGCCTGAAATCAGATCTTCCTCTGAGCTGCGGGCAGCCTGTGCCTGTTTACAGGTGCCCACAGCTCAGAGGAAGATCCAGGTTTCAGGCGAATGCTGCCCGAGATCACGCTTGCCGTATTTGTGATTGCTACGCCTACTACTCTTCTTCTGGCTCCCTGACACTGTGCTGCCCGCCTGCGGACCCCTGGTGAGACACCATAGCCCAGACAGCCCACCTGAGAGTCTCCCAGCCCACCTAAGATTCACACAGGCCACCTGAGAGCCCGCGCAGGCCACCTGGAGACATCAGGACGCCAACCCTGAACAACAGTGTGTAGCGTAATTTTATTTTGTATTGCTTTATAATGTATAATGTATTGCTGGGATTTGTAGTCCTCTATAGCTGGTCTCCTTACTCCCTCTCCTGGCTGCCTCTCCTCGCTCTCTCCTCTATATTCTATTGTATGGGTTTCATTTGAAAAAGGTGGCAACCCTAACTGGGACCCAGTCAGTGAGACTTGAGAATGGAGATGACATGGAACAACTTCAGTAGGTACAGGGAAAATAAAAAGTTGATCCTCTACTGAAGCATGCGGATATCTTCTGAAATGGACTAGACAAAGACACATATTTCCACAATCGTTTTGAAAGTTCTCAATACTTTGTCGTTTATCTTTGGAATCTACAACATGCTGGTTGTTCTGTGCTATAACCCTCTCTTCCAAAGTTTGTTTAATAAAAGTTCAACAAAAATCAGAACATCTTTGTGGGAATCAGTTGTGTTGGTTACCACTAGAGGGTTGGTAGGTACTTTTGGGACAGCAACGGAACTGTAAAGCCTCGACAGGCTAGGAGGACCTGATACATCCAGCAACTCATTAAGGAATGAGCACCACACTTGGAATTATTTTTAGGACTTTTTTCAAATCCAAATTGCAAGCATTTGTTAAGCAAAAGGTAGCTGTACACTGCTATAGAGGACAGGAAAAAAAATAAATAAAAACTACTACTCAGCTAGGAGCAGGTATTTCAATGTGAGTTAAAGGGCAACACAAAAAATACACAATTCCTTTAAACAACATGCTTGGGGTGCCCTGAATCTGCAGATGAAGTTGTACACCAGTACAGTGTATTTCTGCAAAAAAGAAAGAAAAAAAACCTAGGGATGCACCAATACTAGTATTGGCACAGGTACCGATATCAAGTATTTGGGCCCAAATGCTCCTGATGCCTATCCTGAACTTTTGGTATCAGGAAGCAGTGCGGTAAATCATTACATGCTGCCCGGCTTCCTGATTGGCAGGGAAGCTGGCTCCATGCTCCCTCGTCACCAGCACAGGGCTGGTTTCACATCCGATCAAGAAGCCGTGGGACGGGTAATGACTTGGTAACAAGGTAGCATGGAGCCCGATTCCCGACCAATCAGGAAGCCAAGCAGCGTGTAATGACTCACCGCCCAGCTTCATGATTGGTTTGGAAGCTGGCCAATCAGGAAGCTGGGTGGGGAGTCATAACCTCCCCCCCATCTTCCCGATTAGGCAGAAAGCCGGCTCAATGCTTCCTTGCCACCTGGTGATGAGGGAACATTGAGACAGCTTCCCGGCTAATCGAGAAGCCCGGCGGCTTCCTTAATGAGACTTCTGGTATAGGTATTCGGTATCTCATACTCGATATTGAAAAACCAGTATCGGTGCATACCTAGAAAAAACTAAATGACTGCCCAGCTTCATTGTTTGTAAAAACAGCATGGGGCCTCCTTCAAAATCAGTAATTAATGATGGTCTGGTATGAATTTTGAGGGTACCACAGGCAAGGAAAAATTTTTCTCTGCGTGTGTTGTAAAGTAGCCACCGCTCCAAGCTCACTCCCGTGATAGACTACAATCTCATATTTAGTTTACTAATTTGTATTGAGATTGTAGTCCATCAGGGGAGCCAGTTTGGAGCAGTGGCTACTTTACAAAACACACAGGGACCACAGGGCAACATTTTTGAAACACAAAATATTATACATGTGCAATTCGTTTTGGAAAAATTCATTTGGACAGAAAAAGTAAAAAAATTTGGACGGAATTTGTTAGCGGTAGTATGTACAGACTTTCGTTTGTGGATGAATTTTTGTTGCAGC